GCTATCTTTGTATGCTAGAGGGTCCAGTTGTTTACTGTAACATCTTGGTCCAGTGCTTTGTATGTGTGTATAAATAGGGAGACAGGAATTTGATAATTGAGATGTCCAAGGTAGGTTGGTTTATAAAATTCCCTCCCTTCTCCCCTCTTTCCTTCCCTCCTCCCTCGTTCCCTCCCTCTCAAAATTTTCCTGTTCCTCTCCCTCTTTCTTTTCATTGAGGTAACACTGGTTTAGAACATGGTATATGTATTAAACTCCCTTATAAAGTCATGAGTGCCTCTTGTTGGGTATTGATTAATTCTGGGGTGAGGATTAGAGGGATCTGTTTGCATCTTGCTAGGAGATACACTATGAATTTTGTCACATCAGTAGGAGACTTTTCCTAGAAAGACCATGGTATTTTATTCAATAGGGACAACAGATCAGTGTCTCTGTAATCACTTTATTAGTATCATACACAGGACAAGTAAAAGTTGTTAAGGGTTCATTTAACTCATTTAGTTTCCTATTTTCTTCTTCTTCTTTTTTTTTTTTTTTACTGTCAAGCTCTAGAATTACTTACACCTTTAAAGGATGGAGATCTAGCTTGTTATTTTGATAAGTAGACTTGACCCAATAAATAGGGAATGAGGACCCAAGGAGAAAAGGATAGAATTTCTCAAGGGGCCAAACAAAGAGCTTGAGAAGAGATTAAAAACACTTTTTAGAATTCCCCACTGTTTGAAATGTCTGAGCTATTTATAGCTATGGAGTTCATGGCTCTAGTGTAAGCAAGAACAGAGCGATTCATTCCAGATCAATGTCCAGTTTAGGGAGGTCTGGGAAAGCCCTTGTAGTTCCTAGAAGCACCATGAGTGGGGAGTAGGAACAATTTGCATAGTCTACTTGAAAGATTGCACACCTTTGAAATTCTTAATGTTATAGCAGCGTCTTCTCCCAGTGTCTTAGATTCTTAAAGTAATGCAAAAGCTAGGAGGTTTTGGTTCCATATGAGAATGAATAATAAGTTGGTGGATTTGGAGATAAAATATTTTGTAGTTTTTCTTTTAGGTGACTTGTCTCATTTGCTGCATTAGCTACTAAGAAGAAGGCATAGTATTTGATTCTACTCTCTTTTAACTAAAAGAAGAAGGTCTTGATTCAATAATGGACTGATTTAGTAATGAATAAATAGAATTAAAGGCCACCCCTTTCAATTTACATTAAAGGGTAAATCTGAGTTTTCTTTGAAAGTAATTTGAAGCCAGTTTTACTAATCACAAACAAACTTATCAAGCTTTTATATATAAGCTTACGCTTATATATAGGTTTAAGAAAGGCCATCGAAATGGCTTGAACTCTTGCCAAAAGTTACAGTTTTTCTCTAAATCCTTTCCAGGGTTTCCCCATTTGGCAGATTTCATCCAGTGTTTGACTTGACTCTTACCAACAAACATGTGAGTTAATTAACACAGGTCAGAAAAACAAAGTGGGTGAGTCTACATTATGATGTTGAGTTCTTTAGCAAATCTGTGAAGGTGATTAGTTAACTTAAGGAAGCTCCTAACTTTGGTCTCCAATTTGACCTAAGCCCAGGAACTTCGGAGCTTGAGGTTTTCCTGGATCCTCAGAGGACTTAACTTTAAAAGGGCAGTTTGGCTAAAACACAAACAGTGATGTAGACCAATGTTAGCTCAATGGCTGAAAAAAAGGGAACAAATTGTAATGAGTTAGAGGATTAATGTTTCAGTCAGCAGAAGACTGAAGCTGAGGTTTGGATGAGCATACATAGTCAGAATGGGAGGTAAAAGATGGTGGTGGGTAAGAGCTTGAGCACAAGTCTGCTGTTGCCAAGTGGCCAGAGGGTGAAATAGGTACAGAGGGAGAAAAGAAGGTGAACCCAAGGTGAGGACTGAGCACATAGCTTCAGTCATAAGCCCTGGCTCAAGGAAAGCAGAGGAGGTAAGAGGAACACATTAGTCAATTTTAAGATCATATTTTGGAAAAAAAGGGCAATTTAAAACTTAAACATTTGGGAACCTCCACATATTTATCAAAATAGACTTTCCATTCACTTAAAAAATTTCAGGGCCGGCCCTCCCTGGTGGCGCAGCGGGTTAAAGCACAGCACTGAGAATCTAAAGCCGCTTCCGCATGAGTTCGATTCCCGCCTGCCCCGGAGGTGACCACATGGCATGGCAGACCTCTCCTGACCCGCCCGCTGCTCCCCTCAGCAGTGTACTTCTTCTATCTGCCTGTTCTGTTCCCCACTCTGTCTCTGGTGAAGCCTCTCGCCGCCCCTGAGCCTCTGGCCTGTACCCCAGTTCTGTATGTACAAATAAATCTTTAAAAAAAAAAAAAATTTCAGGGCCATTGCTGTCCATTCCAGTACAAAGAGGAAAGAAAATTTGAGGAGTTCAAAGATTCCCTGTGATGGTCATTGGAATTCTAATTTACTTTTATTTAACTCAGTTCACTTAGTTATAAATGCACATGTAGAAAGACCTTGATAATGAACCATTAAATTGGCAGGGGGTAACATTTTGAGAATGCTTAGCCATGATTTCATTTCTCTTCTTATTATTACCAGCAATTCCCAAAGTGGCCTGATCTTTGATAGACAACCACTGTTTTCTAGAAGGGAATTAAAGACCAAAACTCAAGTTTCTTACAACAATGTAAGTTCGAATGCTCATAAATAAATGCTTTACCTTCAATGGAATAGCCAGTATCCAGAAGAATCAGACTGCAAAACAAGCATCACTTCAGGTAGCTCTTTCTTGAAACTCGTGGGTCTTAGTACCTTCACTTGTAAATTTAAGTGACATAATTTTTGGTAGAGAATCTGTCCCGAGAGAATCAGATAGAAAACCAGTAAGGAGTGCTCTATTTTGAGCCACTTTAATTCAAAATTCTGCGCAAAGTTGACACAGATCCACCAGGATAACCCAAATCCTCAAAGGGGTAGCTGTCCACATGTTAGATACCACCATATGAACAAGGCCTTAACAATAGCAGATTGCCATATAACACTCAGAAGAGATTAACACCAAATTTTAGGGGTCTCAGAGGCTGTAGAAAACTTAACCTAAGTTCCATAGCAGGAGAGAGAGCAACAAATCACTTGACTCCATGTGGACAAATATCAATGTGTGCTTTCTCATCTCTGTTAGAGTCCCTATGAAATTCCCACCACTGGTTCACCCATGTAACATCACCATCATCTCCATGCTCTCCCCACCCCACAAACAGCTATTTTTCTATCAAACTCAGAGTATTGGAGTCGATCTCTGGATACCTGTATAGAGCACTATGTGGATCTCAAACAAAGGAATGAATAATTCTAAACAACAAATAGGGTTTATTTGGTAACAAAACAGTAAAAGAGAAGGCAGCTTGGAGAGTATGTTCATGGTGAGGGCAGTGAACACTTCCTGAATCCAAGGCTGATATCCCCCATGTAACCTCTGGAGAACTTCATCCCTCAGTCCCCACTGCAGTGCTAAATAGTATTATTTCTTGTGGTAGATGCAAAGCATGTTGGCCCCCTACTTGCTGACTTTCCCCTGTGTGGACATGCTGTATCCTCAACCTCACTGAAATAAGGTTTCTGTATATTAATGTTTATGACCTCTTCCAAATTGCAGGTGGCCTGCCTCTCTTTGAAGACTCACATGGCAGAAAGAGGGAAGGGAAATCTCTGCTCTCTTCTTATGAGGAAACAAATTAGGCTCCACTCTGTTTCTCATGATTTGATTACCTCCCATCGATTACTCCAAATCTAATCATATGGGGATTAGATTTCAGTATATGAATTTTGGGGGGGACACATTCAGTCCCTAACAGGGATGGAAACAGATAATTGGGAAGATGCTAACATATTGATTGTATTTTAAAGCAGAAAGACTGGGTAAAATTACCAGGAATTTGTGTAGCGGTGAAGATAAGAGAATACAAGTGGAGCTCTGTTGAGAGAATGAGAGGGAGAGAGGTTAGGGAGTCTTATGAGACAGTAGAAGAGGGGAGTAGTGGTTGTATCATGTTTACAGTGTTTGCAGGTACAGATGTGCCCACTGGGTGGACCCTTCAAAGGTCACTGTGATCATGCTAATAACATCTTTACAGCAGAGGGTGAAACTCAGTGGGTACTGTTCCTGTTTACTTCTAGGGTTTAGCAAATAATAGATGACGAGGAAATATTTGCCTACAGGGTTGAGTTTTACATTGACATTCAAAGAATAATGTTTTAGGATGCTCATAGGTCACTGATACCTTCCCACCAGCCTGACTGCCATCAGTTCAAGAAATATAATTCTGTGAATAACTTAAATGAGACAATGAGAGCCAAATCCATTCTGGTCAGGATTTATTGTGCTGCTTGAAGCCATCAGGCTATGGTGAAAAATGCCCTTGCTCAGGATGCAGAAGGCTCATCTCAAACTCTGGCTCCATTTTTAGCATTGCTGAAGGTGCTGGGAGTGAGGCCTTCATACTGTTTGATTTGCAGTTCCTCGGCTGTCTTATGTAGATAATGACAAGCTTCTCTTACAGGAGCAGCAAATGAGTTAGTGCACATGAGAATGCTTTGTAAGTAAAGAAACGAAATGCTATTTTTGTAAAAATAATTGAATTATCCATTTCATTACTAATTTTATATAAGGTAGATTAGATCACTGTCATGAAATTCATATCGACACAGTGGTGTATGAATAGCAACAAGTTAGGCGAAGGCACAGGTCATTGAAGACTGGTAGCTTTCCAGAAATATATAGGAAATTAATTTTTTTGCATTGTCCCCTTATCATTTTCAGATACATTAAATCATTCTGCTGCAACCAAAGAGTAGTCTGGGAGTAAAATCTAACTAGTAGTCTGGTGTCCCAGTGTCGCAAATATCTGAAAGAATAAAGTGTAGTTGGTGTTGCTTGTGTTTTTTTTTCTTTAATTTTTTTTTCAGTGACTCATTAACTTAATTTGACAAATTCTCCTCATGGTGGTTATTCACTTCATCTCACTTCTAGGGTAAAAATCATGGTAAGAAACTCCGAAATTACTATGCAGCTAACAGCTGTCCTCCTCCTGCCAGAATGAGCAATGTCGTGGAACCTGTGGCCGCTCCAGCTGTTTCAGTCCCTCCGCAGGTGAGACTTTTGTCAGGGTGGAAGCTCTTCTATGCATATAAGGTCATGGATGAAATTTGTTGTCATCAGGGTACAGTGGACAAATACTATTGAAAGGTCCTACTCTATGCATTTAACACCTTGAACTGCAATGCTGGATTTAATGCATGCCAGAAATCTGTGAAGCTTGAGATTTCTCATTGACTTTGGTTGTGATGCATGAAATAACAAAGCAAATATTGTTTCATGAGCCTTTTTCTATGAATTTCTCAAAATTCTGGGTAAATGACCATAAATGTCTAAGCTAAGCCCTGAATGAAAGGAGATTTTAAGTCTGTATATATTCATTGCACTCAATCCTATGTTTAAGCATTTATATCTTTATTGCATGTAATCCCACCTGTATTCTGCCTTCCAGCAAGGTCAGATTCTTGAGATTGTCCTTTTCTTCCCTTTAAGCAGAGAGCCTGGGTAGGGTCTTCTCTGGACTTTGGTTCAGAAAGTGCACTTACAGGCAAGTTCCTTTCCCTCTTTGGAACATAATGTAGGTGTTTTAAGCAAGACATTCCTGCACTGTAATAGCCCCTGAGATATAAATTCTAGGTCCTTATCTGTCTTATTATTATCATTTGTCATAGAACAATGCAGTGGTGATAAATAATAATAACTACAGTTAAGTGCTTACTATACTAGAAAATATGCTAAATACTCCTCATATATTATGTCATTCATGACAGGGACTAGAAAGATGCATTCAACATGGGCACAAAATTTATGAGGGTGCCAAAAATTAAGTAATCAAGACAGAATATTTTAATGTGATATTTAAACTATTCAAAATTAATGTGAAAATGAAAGGTGAGCAAAATGTCAGAAATGTAGACAGGATACTTATTGCTGATTTTCCTATTGTCTTCACTGATCCTGTCTTTCAAAAAGTGTGTTTGTTTCATTTCAGTCATCATTATTCTTTTTGCACTGTGTTTAACTTGTAAAAAATAATTTCATTATGGGCCTTCTTGGTATCATGAAGAGGTTAAGTCTCAGTACTGTAAAGTTTTCCACAGCCACTGCAGTATGTATTCAATCCTTGGCCAGGGAGCTGACCCACATAGCGTAGCAGATCTCTCCTGTCTCCCTGCTGCTCCTCTCAGCAGTGTATTATAGTCAGTCTTCCAGTTCTGCTCCCCACTGACTCCCTGGTGAATCCTCTTATCCTACCCCTTCTCTGATCTACACCCCAGCTCTTGTATGCATGAATAAATAAAATAAATCTTAAAACATAATTCTATTAGAAGAATTTTATTTAAAAATCTAATTGTTGAGTTTTTTGATGATCCTGAAAATTTTGTGTCCATGACATGTGCCTGCCTTGCCTAGTCCTGGGTCCTGACCTCCTTCAAGTTCGTACTGGGAACAACTTAGAGGTATTAACTAATTCTTAGAGGTATTGCTAAAGGTGTAATTCCTGGACTGCCAGCATTGGTCTCATTTCCTAGCATATTTGAAGATTGGGAAAGCTAACTGGCATGTCCCTGACATCACACATGTTGTAAAGTGGTAGAACAAGAATTGCTTGTGACCTTAGACTTTTACTCTTAATCCACATAGTATATTTTACTTTTCTGTATGTCAGTTTTAGTACCAGCTGTTGTTCTCTTCCTGTGAATATGTGGGGTAGACAAAATATGTTTAAAACAGTAAGAAAACCATAGGAAAATATCCACAGAGATGTAAGGTATAGGTGGATGAGTTGTCATGTATTAAATCCTGAAGGCTGCTCTCCCTGTGAGGGGCTGTTTTTGCTGGTTCTATACCTCTGGGCAAACAGCCCGCACCTTCCTTCACAGGACAACATGTGATTTTTTTTTTTTAAGAACATGTGATTTTTAGGAACAGATCCTGTCCCCAGAAAAATCTTTTCTTCACAGTTGAAACAGAGCTGCTTTCTTCAGCAGGTCCTGCTTTTACATGCTTTCTGGACTCTTCATTGTGTTTAGTATTCTCCTAGCCAAAATCTTGTTTGTCTTTTGTTAGCCCAACAATACTTACTGAGTGTGTACTATCTTCCAAGTACTGTATTAGGTTTCCTTTAACTCATTTCCCAACCTGAATGCAGTTGTCTGGATCTGCTGTTTATTCTCCTCTGATTGTATTATATCTATAACTAATTTATAGACTCTTTGAGGGAAGGGGCTCATTTGTTTGTATCATCCTCCGAGTTTAGGTCTCAAACCTCATCCACACATCTCGTAATGCTCGTTACTGAATTGTTGGTGGACTTTACTCTTTCTGGTAATATGATTTTAGGCCTTATCTGAACTGACCTAAATCTTCTGTGCTGTAGTTTTTTTTTTGTTTGTTTTTGTGCTGTAGTTTTAAAACTTCTTTTCAACAGTTTCATCAATGGAGATAGCAGTGAGCCATTCACCAAGTTGGTACATGGTGATTGTCTTGCAAAACTATGACATTAACTATTTCCCAGACTTCGTGTCTCCTGGGATGAATTGCTTCCTTTCCTTATTAAACTGAGCGTTTGTGATCTTGCCATAACTTTGGTTATTTTTCAACTCTGAGAAGGAAGTAGGAGGAGGAGGAGGGAGTCAGCTCCACACTTTTGTAATCCTTGTTTCTTGTGTCTTTGATGTCAGATGGGGTCCTTTAAGCCAGGAGGCAGAGTGATCCTGGCCACAGAGAATGATTACTGTAAGCTCTGTGACGCTTCCTTTAGCTCTCCGGCTGTGGCTCAGGCACATTATCAAGGGAAGAATCATGCCAAGAGGCTGCGGCTGGCAGAAGCTCAGAGTAACTCGTTCTCGTAGGTATTGCCATTTTCTCTGAGGCCCAAGTGTTGTATGAGATTTTCTTTACAGAAAGAATTGAAAGGGACCCTTGATTTGAAACCTACCTCTTATAAATTTCTTTTTTCCAGGGAATCCTCAGAGATTGGACAACGTCGGCCCCGGAAAGAAGGGAATGAATATAAGATGATGCCTCATAGGAGAAATATGTACACAGTGCAGAATAATTCAGGTACCCTGTGGAGTTCACATACCCTGGCCTCATTTTGTATTGGCCTCTTTTGTTTTTATTTCTTTTAGTGGTAGTGGATAGCCCTGAGAATTTGGGATTAGCTATTGTTTTGTTGAATTGGTCTAGTGGCACTGTTTATTTCAGCTAGTGTTTATTTCAGGTATTTATTTGTTTCCTATTCAGTGTATCTTTTATTTTGATTTTAAGCAACCGTTGGTGTTTTGAGATCTCCTAGGATAGTTGCTTTATGTTTCTTTTGGTATTTGCCAGCTGAGAAATGTGAAGTGCATTCTAAAAATCACCTGCTGGTTTTTAAACTGCACTAGGTTAAATCCATGTTTATTTGGGACAATAAAAACGATTATGGCACTATTTTTAAACCAGGGTAGTGAATCAGGATTGCTTGGGAGTTTTTATAAAATCAGAATGCTTGAACCATAGCTTAGAAAATTTCAATCAGCGAATTTGGAGTGTACCCAAATATGTGTGTTCTGAAGATGCTTCCTCAGTGATTCTGATATATACTTTAAGTTCAAAATTATTAGTATGCAGGAATATTTTCTGCGTTTTCTGATTGTCTTGAGTAGGGGGAGGAGGGACTCCTCTCCCTACTCCAGCCTTTAGTACATACTCTTACAGCAGAGGTCATTCAATAAAACAAACCAAAAAAGGACTTGGAAAAGTAAGAGAAGGCTGGGAAGAGGGCACATAATGCACAAAATAATAGGGTTAACAAAAATCTGAACATACATAGCATTGATAATTACAGTTAATGTAAATTTATTAAGGTCTTAGATAAGGTTATAAGATTAGATCAAAACATTCAACTGAAATGAAGGAAACTGAGATAGCTATATTTATATTAGATAAAATAACTTAGGACAGAAGGCATTTTAGACTTTGTTCTTGGTCACTAAAATGAGATGTCATTTACAAAATACAAAGAAGCAAATTTGCCATTTCTTTGGAAGTTTTAAACATTGCTAAATAACTCAGGGGTTGAATAAGATAGACTAGAAATTAAAAATTCTTTAACTAAATAGTAGTACAAATATATCAAATTTGTAGGATGCAGATTAAGTATTAATTTGGGTAAAATCTTAAATACGGAAAAAAATGAAAAGCTGAAAATGAATTGATCTAGTAACTCAAGAAGTCAGTTATGTAGAGAGGAACAAAATGATACTTCAGCATTGTTGTGTAAGCCATTCAAAATGTCTTCATGTATTACTGTGTTAAAAGTAGAAATGTGATTATATTTTCTGACATTTTTGCTTTATTTAAAAGCATATGCCAACCACATTTTCATGTCACTAAAGAGTTTTCTATAACTGTGACTGTTGGTTGTCCCTTGCATTGGTTATCAAAAATTTTCATATTGTGTTTTGTGCTTTCGTTCCCCCTTACTTTACCTCATACATTAAAGCTTTTATAAACACTGATGAAATAAATGTTCTTGTGAATAAAATTCTATGCAAAATTTCTCAGTATTTCTTAGGCTAGTTCTTAGAAATTTTGCATTTAAGAATTAGCATAATCATAAGGCTTTTAATATGATGAATATACTTGAAATTATTTTTTAAATTATACTTTTTATAAAGACATTACTATTTGAAGTTTAGATGGGCTCTACAGTAATCTTTCTAACAGTAGTTGGAGGAAATACTGTAACTTTTAGATCAAACCTGTATAAAATTATAATTTGAAAATCCTTAATTTCACATTTCATTTAATGTGAGACATCTATGAATTTTATTTTTTCTTTATTTTATTTTTATATATTTACATTGTTTTTCATTTCAAAGCATTGTTAACCCTTCTCCCCCCAACACACACAGGTGTAGATCCCCTAGAATTCCTTCCCCAGTTTGTACATGCACCATCACCACAGTCTCCTGTGCCTATGTACCCTCCCTCCTTCTTTCTGACTCCTCCCCACCCCTCTGCAGGCTATCTCTGGTTTATAATTGTTAGTTTTTTCTTGTTATTATCACCCCCCATGTCTTATTTGGTTTCTTTATATTCATCCTTAAGTAAAACCATCCGATTTTTTTCCCTTCTGACTTATTTCACTGTGCATGATCCCTTCTAGCTCCATCCATGTTGCTGCAAGTGGCATGAGTTTATCTTTTTTGATTGCTGAGTAGTATTCCATTGTTATATATATATTTCACATCTTCTTGATCCATCATTGTTTTTGGACATTTGGGTTGTTTCCATATCTTACATATTGTGAGTAGTGCTGCGATAAACATAGGGGTGTAGGTATCTTTTGAATCAATGGTTTTGTATTTCTAGGGTAGATCCCTATGAATGGGATTGCTGTGTTATATGGTAGCTCCATTTTTTGTAGTCTGAGGAATCTCCATACAGCTTTCCATAGTGGTTGTACTAGTTTGCACTCCCACCAGCAAGTGCAGAGTTCCTTTTTTTTAACCAAATCCTTGCCAACATTTGTTGTTGCTAGTTTTTAGACTTACACACTACAGTGATAGGTGATCAGATTGTCATTCACTTGGTGAATATTTTGAAGAGAATACATTGGTTTTCTTTCTTGCTTTAGCAGGTCCTTACTTCAATCCCCGCTCTCGGCAGAGGATCCCACGTGATCTGGCCATGTGCGTTACTCCAAGCGGCCAGTTTTACTGCTCAATGTGTAATGTTGGAGCTGGTGAAGAGATGGAATTCCGGCAGCATTTAGAGAGCAAGCAACATAAAAGCAAGGTGTCTGAACAGCGGTACAGGAATGAGATGGAGAATCTGGGTTATGTATAGAGATTATTGTATTCAGATAGAGCAGCTTGTCCTTCCTGTTGTTTGCTTTCTGTCACTATGTCCTGCTTTGTGGTCCTTTGATATGAGTACATTCCTCTGCTTAATATAATACATGTAACTTGCAGTGGTACCATGAGATGTCAAAAATGGGGAAGGCACAGAACGTGCTTCTGAGGTCATCATGCTTCTTCAGGTCATTTGTGTCAAGCTGCTTAGAGCATGTGACCTACCTACCCTGTGAGAAATAACTTATTATCTTCAAACAAGTTCTGGTCAACTAGTAGCCTGACTGCTTAGAGCTTTAACTACTTAAAAATTTCATTTTCTTTTCCCATTGTATTTTTATGCACTGCTAAATAAAGACTTTCATTGAGTTCTTACATCAGATCACAGTAAAAACAGGTAAACAGTGATTGCAGTTTCCCGAGGCTTCTTTGGAGCAGCTCAATTGATACTTTGTCAGTAGGCTATGTGACTGTAATTGGCAGTAGGGACTTTGCCAGGACATATTACCCCTTATCATGTCCTGCCATTATTGAAAGGCAGGTTTCAGTGGATTTTGACATTTCCAATGTGCTTGTGTAATTCAAAACAGCAAAATTTCATTTCTACTTATAATTTCACACATTTAAATGTCACCTTTTCCCTCCTACTTTTCTTTCCCAGATGAATTTTTTTCTCTGGGAAACTCATTTTCTTGTGTCAGTTATATTATGGGTTTCTCAAGCCCCACATTTGAATATCCAGTAAGTTTATGATAAGTATCACTAAAACTATTTTTAGCTGTTTTTAGGAAATGTACATTTATTTAGGAAATTTAAAGTTATATTTTGTCTTTCAGTTTAGAATTATATCATGACAATAACATGTACTTACATCTTGTTCTCAACCATAAGCTCAGATCGCTCGAGATTTGCTTGGGCAGACTTTTTAGATAAACTCTTTCTTTTTTGTGACATTTTTCTGTGTCATACTAGCTTATTGACTGTCCTGAAAAATATTGCCTCCTTATTGTTTTACAGGTAGGGAACTTTAAAAAGTTGACCAAATTTTAATATTTACAGTAGAAGTACACGTGGACTTTGGTTTCATTCTTTATAATTCAGTTTCATTAAGAAGGTAATAAAAAATAGAGATTATTTTGGTATCTAATAATTATGACAGTATTATCTTTATTTTTTGTTCTAGAAAATAAAAAAAACTCGGCATATGTTTAGTTAATGAATGTAGTACTCTATGACCTTTCATTAACTGTATTTTATCTGTTTACTATGTAATGTGGATAAGACTGGTGCTCATCCATATTCCTTTTGAAAGACCACCTTCAATAGGTGGTTTGTATTGACCTATAGCTTTGCACTATGACCAAGTTCACATTTGATTGCTTATATTACTAATTAAGGATAAAACACCTGTTTTTCCTTGCAAATTCTGTAGACAAAGAGATGGCAGAAGGAAAATTATAGTCATCACTCTTTTCCTTTAATACTTTGGAAAATTTTTTAACAACCTATGCCTATATTTAAAAATCAGGTTTCTGATTAACCCCCTGGTACAGTATCAAGTTACTCTCTTCTGTTGAAATAGTGGTTTTGAAGAGTAGAGTTATTTCATAATTTTTTTTCCTCCATGGAATGGAAGAATGAAATTATGTTCTGTTGACATTCTACTTAAACCTACGACTCTTAGTATGAAAATGTTTTTGCGGTGATCTACAAAGTACAATTGATTAGTTTAGGGCAATTTAGAGCTTGTCTTATCGGTCAATTGTTCATTTTGCTGCTAAGTATAATTTTTTGGTAGATTTTAATATTATAGTGCTGGCCACTCCATTCTATGATTATTTAAAACTCTCATTTTTTCCCTCTGTGTGTATGTATGTATGTATGTGTGTATACATGTACATATATATGTATACTTATATACAGTACACACACGTATAAAACTATGTATCTGTATTTTTATGTGATACCATATGGAAAATTTCCTTGAATCCTTATTTCAGACAACAATAAAAGATTGTGGATAAGAATTTATATTTTGTAAAAGTGGTGTTCATCCACTTTCAGTTTCCTCTACAAATAAAATTAAAGGAATGATTTCCTCTACTTTTCCTCCTTAATAATTTCACTATAATATATACAAAAAGCAGCGGACTTAAGGCCTTGATGTTTTTCTGGGCCTTGTGTATTCAGGTTTCCAGTCTCCCAGTGCCCTTAATGGATGTTATGAATGCATTAACGCATTTTCTTTTAGAGAAGAAAGTTAGATTTATAGTGTTGTTTCCTACTCGCTATATTTCTTTGCACTAAAAAAGAGCTATATGTGTTTGTTTTATATGACACTTTAGATACCATATTGCCTACAATAACTCAGTTTGTTCCTTAATTTCCAAACTCTAGGAAGTTAATAATGACTTCCAGGATCATTTATAGAAGTTACATACCCATCCAAAACCAAAAATCACAAATCTGTAACAGTGGGTTGTGTTCTGGGCTTGTTACTTGGCAATATTCTCATATTCTCTTGTGTTCCATAGGTGAGACAAAGGGTGACAGATCAGGTCATCATAAAGGAATTGCTTAAATAAATACATCTTTGCATGGTACAGTTTCTCATACTCATGCGTTCCTTATAGACAATGCTTTTTCCCCGTATAAGACTGTTGTTACTATTACAGTCAGTGATATATGATCTCTGTTGGTTTCATTTTGTGAAGTCTAGTCCTGCTCTGTAATGTGCTTTAGAATTTGCACCCTGTACTCTCCAGGAATCATGTTATATCATTTTACATGCTGTGTACAAGGATGGACAGAGGCCGAAACAATGGGAAACCTTTAGTCAAATAAACTAAACAGTTTTTCAGTAACCATCTGCAGGAACTCGTAACATCAAAGTCTCTTTTCCCTGTAAATGTCTTTGTGTAAATTGTCATTCCAAGTCACTGTTAGAAGATAACAATTAGAAACTTTTTAAGATATTGAGGGCAAGAAATTATAAAGAAAATATTACATGTTCTTATTAAGAGATTAGATTGCATATGCCTTTGAAGTGTTCTTTTAAAAAAGGTTAAGCTACTAAAGTGAGTGTGAAGTGAAATGCTTTTGACTCCACACTGAACAGAAAACACTTTGTTGTTCATGTCTTTGGATACTATGTGCTGCAAGTTGTAAATATGTGCATGTTGTTTTTGTTTTTCTGCTTGTCTCTTATTGCACTGAATTCTACAAGGCAAATAAGTTTTTTTATATCATTCATTTCAAAAAAGTTTCTTCCTCAACTCTTCCTCACTATTTCCTCTTTTAATTAGTTGGTAAATTTAGAGAGTCATTTAGAGTTTTTAAAACCCCAAAATGAATGAAGAATGATGGCTATCTGAGATCATCCTGTATCTCTCTGACTTAAACAATTACAAGGTCGCTTAAAATCTTCCACCGTGTTTTACAGAGCTGTTCTGCAGAAGTAGGATGCTTCTCGATAGCTACTTATCTGTACTTCGAACAAGGATAAAAGGGGAAATATGTGTGTATGTGTGTGCCTGCATATACATGTGTATTTATACATAATATATATAAGCTTTTAATCTCCCTCTGTAGATAGATCCTAAAGATTAACTGTAGGATTTATGACTCCTTCACTCATGAATTGGCTGGCCCCCTGGATATGACAGTTTGAGGACCATCCCATGACCTGTGTAAAATGAGTTTTACTTGTTTCAGGGGAGACAGGTAATTGTTTGACATAGTATCCTCTTCAGAGACACCTAAGAATGGTGGATTTGGAACCTGACCTGTTTTGTTCCCTCAGTGTCAGAACTTAGGCTAGAAGTACTGGTTTATTTGGTGAGGCATATAGTAAGGACAGTTAGCTGCTTTAGAAATAGAGAAATATTATGTTAGTATAGGCAGTTATTGAATGTAGGCTTTTGAACAGATGTTTAAAAAATTTCTACTTTACCAACTTTTTTTTTTAATCAGCCAAATCATTATTCAGGAGTGTCACACATAATAAAAAGTGTTGTGTCGTGGTGTTAGCTTTTTTTTTGACAGTAGATCCTTAACATTGTTAACAACTTTTGCCAATCTGGCTGAATGGACAAATAACTGTAACCATGAACATTTCTGATGGCTGTTAGACTTTTTCTTCCTTTGTGAATGGGAAAATCATTGTATACTCCCTTTCTGGGTAGCTACCTAAAATATGCTGGTTCTGGTCCCTTGTGACCTTGTTTCCTTGAAGCCCAGAATATGAGTGCCTTTAGCAAGTTTTAGCATTTCACAGAAAAAAAGCAGTGATAGAATTTTTGCCATTGATCACAATTCATAAAATAGAAGCTTGGAATGGCAAAGATCTGTGTGAATTCCATGTTCTACATTTCATTTTTTCTTTTTCAGTGTGTTCTCAATTTGATATTGAATAAAACTTACAATTCTTGATCAGGAGCTAGAATTCTAAAAATGAATTCATTTGTCCCAGACTGGCAAGAGTCATGATTATTTTATTTCATCTTGATCTGTATTGCATTTATATTTAGTAAATGGTAGTGTGGTAGATTGGAAAGAGCTTGATGTTAATGTCTAGAAAAAACTTTATTTCAGTTTCTTTAAACTCGTTTATTCTGTAGAGAAGAAATATATATCTACAAGTGAAGTGTGTGACAAGATCATCATGCATACTAAATACTAATGGTGTCACATCATTCTCCTCATTAAAAAAGGGTAATCTTCCCAAATCAGGTTTCAGACCTATTTCTGCAATTGTTTTCCTACTTCTGTTGACTTAAAATTTTGAATTGTCTGAGTGTTTTGACTCTTTAAAATGAAATTAATTTTGGAGGTTTGGTTAGAATTCACTGGTGAAGCCATCTAGTCCTGGGTTTTGTTGTATAGTAGAAATATAGTAGAAATCCTCCACATTATGAAAAGATTTAAATGTACATCATTGTTTAAACATTTTACATTATACCCATCATTAGATTCTACCATCAACACTTAACAGCATTTGTATTTCTCCATCTCTACCCCTCCCTTTTTTCATTCATCTAGTCACTGAGGATCTTTAACATATATTTTAATGTAAATTTCAGAAAATAGGTTTTCCTTAAACACCTTCATATAGGCATCATTAACCAGAGTTTAGTATTTGTTGAGCATTCATAAAAGTAGTCTATGAAGTTGATTAACCTGAGCTAGTTAACATATATTTTCTTTCTTCTGTAAGCTTTAGTCTTTTACTTTCTGTTTTGTTTCATGTGTTTGAGAGGGAGGGAAGGCAACTTTTCAAACTGAGGTTTCTTGTTGTTGGCCATTTAAAATGCTAAATTGTTCTACATTTTAAAGTTTGATGGTATATTTTTTTCCCTATTTCTGAAGTATTTTTGCTGAATTGTATAAAACACTGTAAATTACTGATTGGCATTTATTAAATCAGCTTATACCTCATTTCAATCTACTGCTGCTTTCTTCTATGTTACCACTTCTTTCATTATCTTGACTTATTCTGCCAGAAAGCAGAGAGAAATAGAGTTGAACTCTATATGTGCTTAACTATTTTAAACAACTCTAGAAGGTTTAGGAAGTTGAGGACCATTAATCTATCAAAAGCCTTTGAAGCCCCTGAGAATTGTGATTGCCCTGTGTCCTCTAGCCATAATTAGCAGGATTATAAATGATTGTACTGTATAATACATTGTTGAATTGTGAGCCTTAGTAACCACCTTTAGCTTTATTCTAGTACTGTTTAGAAAAAGTTTGATATATGCCTTTGTTTTAGCCAACTTTTTGTGGATACAAATCTGAAGAATTTAAGTGACTTGATCCAGATCATGAAGCTTCAATGGATAATTCAGTATTGAAACTTTAATATTCCTGATTCATATCCTTGTGCTTGTTTGCTTAGATTAATGGCTTCCAAAATAACAGAACACTAACTTTGGGGCCCTTTAAAATCAAAGTATGTATTTTTACCAATTAAATTTCTAACATTCTTTAAACTTGAAGATATTTTTCATGGTCATAGTTCCTCATTAAGCAATGTGATTGCTGAAATGTTTCACTGTTAGATAATGCAGGTCTTGTCAGATTTCTTTTTGTATTTAAATGTCCTTCATGATTCATTCATAACTCTATGTGCTAAGTGCTTAAGTGACCCCCTCACTAGTGAAAATGTTCTATACCACTGATTCTATGTATATTCTCTACATGATATATTTTTTTAAGGAAAAGTAACCCCATGTGTCAAGATGAAGGATACTCTCTTAGGGCAAAGCACATATAAGCAGCATTTACAGGAACAAACTTAAGAGTGGCTGACCATTGTTTTGCCTTTTGGTACTTAAGCACCTTTCTGTGGTTTTGTAAATCAGTATGTTGTTTTGTAATACTTTAATGTTGATTCTGTGTTGTTTGATGTTCACCTGGTGATTTCCTCGGCTGACCATAGTTTACTTTGGGTATAGTGTGTCTGCTTTGAAATGCCTTATTCGAGAATGTTAGACTGCTCTAAAGCATTCCATGTATCTGCCAGGATGATAAGTTGCCTCTTTCGATGTATGCTCTACATCCAGAAGCAAAACTGATTTTGCTTTCAGTATGTTATAATTGTATTTTTGTACAGTTGTGGCTTGAAATTTGAGAATAAAATCATGGAACAGTAAGGGAAACTTTAGAACCCTTCATTTAATAGTGTGCTTTAAAGCTGCTTTTGCAGTATCTCTGCTAAAGGATATAGGTTTAAAAAAAAAAAAAAGCTAGCCCAACTGTATGAATTGGGATTGCTGTCTAAAATTTTCTCTAAATGTTATTAGGGGTTTAACATCAGTGTGTGCTATTGGGGCTTAAGTGCCAGCCACTGCTTTGGAAATCTGTTTGTGTAATGGGGCTACAGAAATGACAAAAGTATTGTGGGATTAAAACCAACCAACTGTGAATTGCAAAACTGAAATTGCTCTTTTGGTTTTATTTTCTTCAGCATATTGAATATAGAAATCTGAAAGTTATTTAAAAATTTACATTGCTTATGTTGATGGCTCATTTTGGCTGTGTACCCTCACTTATGTATACTGATTTCTGATAAAGGCTTGACGTTACTATAAGAGACATTTTGTGTTCAATTTAATAAAACAGTTTGAGTCTTGTCTGCAAATTGTTTAGATATGAGTTGTAGATCACAGGAAAAAGGTATGTTGTGTTGTCACTACTGAGGGGTTATTTTTGATGTCAGTGATTGATGACTTAGATTCATCATTCAGCAGTCTGCACCTCATCTTCCACAGGCTTCTGGAATTTATACAGAGTACAGTCAGTTCTTGGACTTGCATTGCAATTGACCTAGCTGCCTTCATTCAGTCCCCTCACTTCCCCGATCACTGGAGTTAGCCCTGGACTAGAGAGTTCTCAATTTTATTGATACCAAATTTTATGTTCACCTTCCCTTCAAATTCTGAGAAAAGTTGGGGTTAACCTCTGTTTCTGGAAGCAAACACAAATTAAAAGGTATCTACCCATTCATCTTTTTGGTATTTCACATAAAAATACTCATAATTAGCTTCTCTGTACATTATTATTAGGGTGTGGTCATTTACGCACTGTTTTATTGTATGCAATAAGTTTATTGTATGCACTGTGCTTTTGAATTTAATGCTCATTTTAAAAACTAGGTGATCAGCCTGGGAGGTGCTGTTACAGCTTGTTTAATCAGAATGCAAGACACATACACTTACTGTCGTGGGAAAATTCTTGTGTCTGCACAAAAAAATGTTTCTGAATGAAATGAATAGATCACATTGGATCTCTGTGTTGTAAAATAGTCAAGGCATCAGCACATTCTATTAAACCAAGAGATTTTTAGCTTGAAAGAAAATTGGGACTGTGGGCATAAAAAAGTCTTAAACCACTAACACTTTGCAGTTTTTTTTTTTCAGGCATTTTTGAGGCTTATGCACTTGTTGGAAAATCTATTAAATTATATGCTGGAGTTACTTTTTAAAACTGCCTGCATATGAGAATAGCAGTGTACTTTCCCAAAGTACTGTAAATTGATACAATATTATAAGAAATCAAATATAGATCTATTTGAGATGAATTTTAAGATTTTCATCATGAGTTGAGATTTAATCCGCCAAATTTTATTCCAATATGTGAGATGGTCATAAACTGTTGGAAGTTGAAAATTTGTAACTTATTGAAAGATGATAGGTAATTACTGTTAAGTGTAAATATCAGAAGAGATATAATTTATAAAGGCTTACCCCTCAAATTACCTAAAAATACCCTTCATGGTGTATATTTGTGTGTGTGTGGGATGTGTATGTGTGAGAGAGAGACAGAGATTGTGTGTGTTTGTGAGGGTGTAGAGATATTTTAGGAGGTAGTATGTATACGTTTTAAGGTGATCAAATACTTATAATGAAGTGTGTCCAAAGGAGCCCATCTAAATTAATGCTGGAAGAAATAGGGTACCCCATAGGCGGTGTGTAGCCTCTGCTTGGCATTGTGGATGCCTTGAAGATGTAATTAGAGCTTCAAATGTTTTGGCTGGTAGCTGTCTCTCCAGACAGAAACAAGATGTCTTTCATAATAGCTTCACTTTTTAATCAGCTGATGCCAGAGGCTCTTCTCTGTGGCTCTTTTCTAGAAATGATTAGTGGGTTATGGAGTTTGACCAAAGGTATCTAGTGCCACCCTGTGGACTCTAAAAATCTTACAGTTTGAATCTGGTTGGTTTGCCACTTACTTTTGAAGTAAGATCTTTGAAAACCACCTAGTGGAGGAGAGGAGTTTTTAAGTCTTAAGAAAGATACACTGGCCCTCCCTGGTGGCACAGCGGGTTAAAGCACTGCACTGAGAATCTAAAGCCGCTTCCGCATGAGTTCGATTCCCGCCGGCCCAGGAGGTGACCACATGGCGTGGCAGACC